CGTCTAGCGGATTGTAGCGCCGACTTTGATTCTAAAGTGTCATTCAGACACCAAACGAGTTTTCACAAATTTGGTCAAGGCAACAAAATAATGTTTCTTTTTACTATAAATAAACGCTTAAGCCTTAAGAACGGTAGGCTGAAAAGTTAATCTGTAGCTTTAATTATAATTTATATATATTTATCAGATGTAGTCTGAACTATATAGGTGGTTTACTAGAAAGACACGATCATTTGAACAGCTTTATAAAAATTATTTAGTGGGATGGATGTTACATGGAAATTTGATTGCTAACATTCCTAATGGTTATTGTCTGTACTATAATTATTTTTGACATCTGCACTTTCCTGTTTTTGTAAAGCTGTTGAAATAAATAAAAATAATTAAAAATTAATAAAAATTGATAATTTAAAATTTAAATAACACAAATTAGAGATATTCTAAAGTATTTTTTTGGGGCAACGGATAGTGGGGTTTTGTTTTTATTCTTCTTACTTTTGAAAAGTTTTTCAAATATATAAAAAGAATTTATAAATATAAGTCGGTAATTAAAAATTGAAATAAACCAAATTTAAGGTATTCTAAAGTTTTTTTTTTTTTAGCAACGGATGGTGGGGCTTTGTTTTTATTAAATCAGAATACGGATTGTACTAAAAGCCTTTCTTATTTTTGGAAAGTTTTTCAATTATATAAAAGTAATTTTAAATATAAATCGATAATTAAAAATTGAAATAAAACTAATTGGAGTTGTTCTAAAGTTTTTTTTTTCAAAATTTAAATAAGACAAATGGAATACCTCTATATCAATGTTTTTTTTTTTTTGGTTACGGTTATACGAGTTTGCGCTGTAAATAAGTTTCAATTCACATTTTGTGAAATTTCTTGCCATGTTCGTTCGAACGACTCCTAATGCCGTCTCTGACGGGGACAGTTGCTCGACTTGTGGCGTCTTTTGTGTGTGCATTGGCGGTGATTTTTGTGTGTGTGTGTGTTTTTTTTCTTTCATTTTGGCGCTGCAACCGGCAGGCAACCAACCTAAACAGCCGAACAGTCAGCCAGGCAGCCAAGTTGGCCAAATTTATTGCGCCGCTGTGCCTTGTTGCGTGTCCGAGGTCTTTGCACAGCGTGTGGCATGTCTTGGAACCCGTACATCCATCCCCCCTCTGCCACCTTTTTGGTCGACGGCTGAAAGCCACGTTTTGGGCGGGCGTTTGCATTGCGTTTTCGGCGGCCGTGTTGAAATTGACAGTAAAATAATTGGTTGATTATTTATGAGTGTAGTAGACGTTGGAGCTTTGTAGAATACTCGCATGCGTGTGTGCATGTGTAGATTTGGATGTATGTACGGGGGTATAGAGAGTTTGTTTAGGGCCCAGAATATTTAAATGTAAAAATATATGCAGATTTTAAAGAGTAGCCAGAAGCAGTTTGGCTTTGATGTTGCCCACAACTGATTGTTATCCAAATAGTTATGTAAGCAATTTAAATTGTGGTAATTAAAAATTGTCATCCCTGCCTCAAATCTGACGCATACTACACACGTACACACGCACACCTAGACAGGCGCAAGGCACTTGACATATGGAGGCCCCCAGAGCTCACAGAGTCCCCAAAGCCCTTGACGCCTACGTCCCGACTCTCCAACTCTCCAACTCTCCGACTATCCAAATGCCTGACCGCCTGTTATTATGTATTTTTGTCACTGACAAAGCAAATCACCGAAAACCAACAAAGGCAAAGGCATCAACAGCCGTAACAAACGACGCCACAAGGCTGCAGCGAAGGAGACCTCAGGACCCCAGAGCTTACTGTTTAGTGCTCAGTGCTCAGTGCTCAGAACTCGGACCTCCACAGAAACAGTAGCAGCAACAACAGCAGCAACATCAGTAATAGAAACAGTAGCGTAGGCCTCGACCAGGCAATTTTCCTGTTGAATTATGAGGATATTTGTTTCGTCATGAAAGATTGGCCCCGAGCATGTGCCCTAGCTAATCCTTACGCACTCGGCAACTGGTATTTTCTTTTTTCCCCTCATTTTTTTTCATTTCATTTTTTTTTTTTTTTGTGCCGGCACTCTAGTACTGGTGCCTCTTTTCAATTTGCGTGCAGGCGCCAGCCACAATGTGCCATCAACTTTGCCTTCGTCGTGAGCTTACCAAATGCACTGTGGCATTGCAAGTGAAATGCACTCAACTGACTTTTGGGGTCGAGCATGGGACCAGAAAGGCCAGCAGCGATGAATACTGGCCACTAGTTGGTGGCTGGTGGCCAGTAGCCAGTGTCCAGTGGCTGGTAGCCAGTGGCGACTATCCTGGCGACCACACACATGTAACACATGAGTCTTAAACGGGGCACGGCCTGGCCGATTGCATCTACAATTCATAGAAATTTCAAACGAAGCGTAAACGAAAACGGAAAGTGCACAGCAGAGGAGCAGACGACGACGACGATGACGACGATTGCAGCTGCTTAACTGCCTGGAGCTGTGATGGTTGGAATGTGAACTAGCAGACAGCTAATTCCCCTTCGATACAGCCAATTGTCTTTGAAGGACATATATTCTTATAGGCAATAAAATAAACTGCTCTGAGCAATATGGAGAAATGCAAATACACCTAATTCTGTTTTCACACTGTCTTTTTTTACACGATTTTGATAATGAATAATTTCATATATATTTCTTTAGAGATAAGGAACCAATCACCTATTGTTGCATATCATCAATGCCTTTTTTACACGGTTGTTTCTGGAACCAATCTACCACGTAAAAATTGAATTAGGCGTATTTAACAATTTATTGTGGCCTTACTTCTATTTGTATTGTCAATTATATGAACATTCTAAATTATTCCAGATTATCCCAAGTAGGATTGTATGCTCGTAGAAAATTTTAAATAAATATACTCTAAACGAATGATTTATATTTAAGGTGGATAGCTATACTTGAAAAACTAATAATGTTCATTTAATAGTCAAAATAGTCGACAAGATAGTTCAAATTATTTATTAAAATATTTAAAAAGTAGCTTATTTGTAGTGTTTTGTTAAGTAAAACCATATTGATCTGAAAGTATAAATCTTTTAACATCTTTTACCATCACTATGGAGAGTAAAAAATTCTAAAAAATTCCAAGCTTTGTGTAGGTGTTGATATATACTAAGCATATGTTATAAGCTTTGGTTTTTTTTTATCACAAAGATAGTTCCAAGAATAAATTGGACTGGACATCTCTGGCCGTGGCGACTGCAGTCGGCCAAAGTAAACGACATTGTGGGGCTTGTACATAGGCCTTGGTCGCCATCTCTAGCTTGGCATCCAAAAATTGCGTTGCTATGTTTTGTTGCGGCGTTTCTGAAATGCATGTGATGGCCGGGCCCAACTTCCAAGCATGCTATGCCCCGTGACAGAAGTCCTCGACCTCAGCCCGTCTCCGTCCTTTGGCTAAATCCGACTTTGGTTGATGATGAGTGTCGTTATCGTTTTTGGAGTTTTGTTTTGTTGGACACACATGCATACGCACACACACACACACACACACACACACACGCACATACACATGCACATGCCCACTGCCCAGGATATTTTAACTGCAAGTTGAATTTAGATTTCGATATGTGTGGCAGTGGACGAAGAACAACGACGTGGAGAGCTCCGAGTGAGCAACCAAGTCAGGCAGCCCACAAAACAATCAAGAAAAGCAATTGGTGCCGTTTGTGTGGCAGCCACAAACCCACTTGCCTCTCAAGGCTCTCTGGCCAGAGAGGCGGTGCCTCGAACCAATGCGCTGTGCCGGCTTTTTGGCAGAGGAAAACGTCGTCATGTCATGCCCGACGAGCTGGACGGGTGCAGAAGTACAGCTTTTATTCGGACGATGATGTAGCTGCACGGATTGATTTACGTTCGAAAAGATTTCTCAAGTGTGTGTGTGTGTGTGTGTGTGCGTGTGTGTGTGTGCAGAAGCAACCACCCTGTCATGCCCCATGCACCAAGAGCTGCATATTTTTCTATATGTTTTGCTGTAGTTTTGCATTTTGACTGGCTGGCTTTGGCTTTTGCAACGACTGAGATTTATCAAAAGGTAATTTATATATGTGGGTGTGTAATTTATATATAGATACTCGTACAAGCCACATGCTTGCCCTCCCCTTTCTGTTGTTTACTTTGCTGTCTGTTTGGCTTTAGACTGCCCAACAACCGCCCAACCCGCCTGAACTCCTCAATCCCACTATCCAGCACCGATTGTTGCATTTTATGTTTGGTGCGTTTGAAAACAAATGTACGCAACATTTTTAAGAGTATGCATTTTCGTTGAAAATAAATCGCCTGCCCAAGCATGACATACGACTAAAGCTGAGGCTGTAGCTCCAACTGATACTAATGCTGCACTCGGAGTAAGCAGTAGAGTAAATGCTTTTGTTCTGTGGGGCTGTGGGGTGAAAGGTCGGTCTTTCAAAAATTTGAGAAAGCCACTATTCTCTTTTCACTTCCGATAGTCTCTTTGTAATATTTCGAAAATGAATAAAACTTACAACCTAGAATTTTACTAGAGAGACTTTTGTGTAATTGTTTTTCATGCAGCTTTCACGATTTCAGTTTATTTCTAGGCTGAGAATTGTTTCAGAGACCTTCTTTTCTGACATTTGATTTACAGTTGCACTTATTTATCGATTCTTCCCAATTTTGCATTTTAAAGCACTCCAATAACATTCCAAATATGAATAAAATCTAGAATTTTACTAGAGGTTCTTTTGCCATTTTTATGATTTTTGTTTGTTTTTAGGCTGAGTATTGTTTTAGAGACCTTCTTTTCTGACATTAGATGTTGATTTCTGTATATAGTTACAGTTGCATTTATTAATCGATTCTTCTTAATTCTGCAAATATGTTTCATGATTGTGGCCAAGTATTTTTTATGGAATCACATCAGCATAGCAGCAGTCTTCAGAAACCCATTGAATGCTTAAAGCCTTTGACAAATTCATTCGTATTCTGGCCTCCATCGAAAACAGTTCAACATTTTATTAAACAAAAATTTGTGGTAAAAGTTATTTTAACATATATTTGTGTTTCTTTTCGCCTGCTTTGCCCTTAATTTCAAATCCTTTGTGGTAAGTCGTGTGCGAAAATCTGATTTTGACTTTTGTCTATAGAAATGCCATCTTTATTTTTTTTTTAATAGCTGACACAAATAATGAGACTGAACAACAATCAGAACAGCAAGAACATTAATCGATGGCGTGCTTTCAGGCGATTACCATATTGAAGGAAGAAGAAATGTTTGTGAAGCTAAGGTGGCTTTCAAATGTCGATGTCCATTCCTGTTATCGTCACTAGGCGCCCTTTTACTACGATTATAAGACAATGCGGAAGGGCTAATGGCCTTGCGCTTGGACTTTGACATTACTTTCAATACACTGCACCCATCGAAACAGCAGAATTATGGCGTAAGTTCTCATAAATTATCTATACCACATGGTTAGTTCGTCTTATCGGTTCGGCAATTTTTTTCAGATCTCTAATACAATCCCGTCACACTCTCGACTGCGGTGAACGCTGCGCCTCGTTATTGAGACTGAAGTCTCCATAAGTCGTCGTATCTATGTATCACAGTGAGAAAGCAGCGGGGAAGTCGAACTAATTGATGTTTTCCTGTGGTGATCGGTGCATTATATTGATTGTAATGCCGAAGCCCAACTGCAATTCCATTATCAGTTCCACATTGTCGTGTGATCGTACTGATAGGGCGCCAACAGGCAAAGCTGAGAGTCTGAAGTCAAAAAAGGAATCGGAACAGACGCTCAGATCTTCATCACGCCCCGTTTATTATGCTTTTCATTGGAATAAATTTTGGTTAGAATTTCCAAAAACATCATTTATATTGTGGGTTTATTTAGAGAGGGGTAGCAGGGAGAAGGGAAGCATTGATTCTTAAGTACCGAGATGTGCATATATAGTATATTTGTTAAATAATTAGTTGATTGATGAGTGGTTGCTGACACTGAAAAGGAAGCCAACAATAATCCCGATATAGGCCGCATTGCGAATGCTCTTGTCAAAATTGTGTCTAATCAAATAAAGATTCCATTAATGGCTTTAATGAAACCACTATTATCCCTCTAATAAGTACATGCAAAGTATTTTCTGCAAGTCGATACACAGACACACACCTCCATCCCCAGAGCCAGAACTGATGTGCATGGCTGAGTCCAACCATTGTGTCCGAGCAGCTCAAATGCATAAATTCAATTTTTACATAGCTGCAAGAAAAATAGAAAAAAAAAAACATTGCATAATTTAACGCTCCCTGTCCAAGTCGACAGACAGACAGACAGCCAGGCAGACAGTCAGTTCGGTCCTTGCAAAGGGTCAGCGGTGGTCGGTGATGGTCGGTGATGGTGGAGCGGGGGCCGAGCATATGATGTAAAAAATTGCAAATCGAATCAGGCAGCACAGAATATACGAAGCGCTCAATGCGGGGCTGACCGGAGGGAGGGTGGAAGGGGGGAAGGGCTCCAGTGGTCAATGGGTGGATTCGATGGTTGTCGGTTAGTTGTTGTTGTTGTTTCTGTTGCTGTCGTTGGCTGCATACCGAAACGTCAAGAGCATTCGCACGACAGTTACACGCCTAAGCCCCTCTGTCCCAAACTCTCTGGTGTCGCCCAGCCCGCAGCTCATCGCGATTCCAACGGCCACTGCATGGACATTGTTGACATTTGCCAAACCTACTTTAATCACTTTTTAACCCCATTTGATACAGTGTCAACATGCATGTATGGGGCGGCGGCTCATAAAATGGACAGTCGACTCTACGGCCCTGCTCGGTACGGCAGCTCCTACTCCTGCTCCTGCTTCTGCTGCTCTTCGCCTGAATGCAGTCCACTTGGTAAAACAGAAGGAACCAAATATGTACATATATACATACTTGTATACATACAAACTCGTAAAAACTGTGCTCTCTCTCTCTCCCTCCAAACCAATGACAAAAAATGCCAATGACAAACGAAACAAAAAAAAAAAATAAGAAAAAAATACCAAAAAGGGAGCATCAGTAACGCAAAGGACAGGACAGAACAGACATACAGAAGAGACGAGAGCGGGAAGAGAGACGAACGAGTTGAATGCTGGGCATGTCAGAGGGCCAAGGGCCAAGCTGCCAAAGCAATTGATTTACTGCACTTTGTTTGCCAAAAATTAATTGAGTTGATGACAAGTGCAATTGATTTATGCGGGACTCAAATGAGTGCGGACAAACGGATGGATAGATGGATGGATGGATGGATGGGTAGATGAATGCATGGATGAATGAATGGGTGGACAGCGGTTGCTCACAATGCGGGTTGACTGCACACTTTAAAAAATAAATCCCACCGCTGAAGCTTAGATATAAGAACATCAGATAAATACATTTTCTCCCACTCTCTTTAAAAATACATATATAATTAGTATTCTCATTGTTTATCGCAAAAGTAATTACAGTTATTACGTTGCAGATTCAAAAACAAAAACACATTATTGAACAGAATTTTAACTTTTTTAATAATTAAAAGGTGGTTTGATTTTCTAAGTATTTTCATATAATATTGTTTACATTCATTTTTCATGGCTTACTTGAATTTGTAATGACAAATTAATAAATAAGATAGATAGAGAGAGAGAGAGAGAGAGAGAGAGAGAGAGAGAGAGAGAGATATAGTTTCTACACAAACTCCATAAGTAAGTCATGAAATTAATGTTACTGCCAATCAGAAATCGATATAAAACAAAGTAGTGTTGCAAAGTAGCATAAATGTGTGTGCCTGTGTGACCAAAACAATTAACAATTAACCGTGGCGCGCGTTTAAGGTTTTATTGAAATATGTAAAGAGTAGATGCATTAAGAAGGTACTTTGTTTCTAGTAGTGTAGATGCCACTAGCGAGATAGCTTTCCAAAAACGGATAACGGATAATCAACAGCCCGGCATACGAGCAACACTGGCATTTTACACTACGGCAGGTGTCAAAGTCACGGCGAGAAAAGGCAACAACAACAGCAACAGTAGCAGTAACAGCAATGAAAAGAAAAAAGAACTGTGGCTCCGGCCGTGTTGTGTCACGGAAGCGTGCCGTGCACACATGTCCGTCCGTTGGTGTTGCCGTTGGTGTTGGTGGATCGTTGACGACGCGGTCGCACGACTCTCCCAGCTCGCACCTTGTACACAGGTTTAGGCCAGAAAACGAGCGACGCAACGGAAATAAGCGCCAAACGGATGCCAACAAACGAAGCAAATGATTCATTTCCGATGATGCGACAGCGTCCATGGACGCGTCGTCGTTTTCATTTCACCTCTGCGTTGTTGTTGTTGTTGCTGCTACTGCTGCTGCTGCCGCTGTCGTCTGCCACCAAAAATTTGCATGAAATGCGAAATCAAACGGTTCGTGGGTCGTGGGTCGTGGGTCGTGGGCCTTTGGCCAGTCGGAGCGGGTGGTGCGGAGGTGTAGGGGCGTGGGGGGTGGCGGGGCAGCAGGTAGTCAGTGGCGCGGGAAAGGGAGACAGGCAGCAGGCGTCGCTCGCATCAGGCGTGTCACGTTCACGTGTAGATTGTGACGTGCGCCCATTGCCATATTTTATGAGTCTGGGTCCTTGACGCAGCCAGTGTTATTGATATGCTAACGGTAAATGTGCCTAGTGCTGGGCAGAATGGGCCGAACGGACCGAATGTTCTGGTCTGGTCTGGGCTGGCCGGTCGGTCGGTCGGTCGGCCAGTCGGTCTGACCATGGATGATGGCACTGTGTTTGATGGCTGCACGGAAGTGGTTTAGGCAGCAGCAAAAGCAACAACAGCAACAAAAACTGAACACTGGCAACATGTGCGACAACGCGTCCAACGTGTGAAATTTTTTAGCCGAAAAATTTCGCATTCAACGTTGTTGTTCGCCCATTTATAATGGCGCCCCCAGCGCTCACCACTGACCAATTTTGGAAGGAGAGGGGGGATATCATGTCGACATACAACATATTGGAAATCAAAATGTTGGCAACATTTTTCAATTATGCCAAAAACAATCATTGCCACAGCAGTTGCGAATAGGCTTTAACGGAATTTACTTCATATGCACGACTGAGTTATGTGATTTTGGTAAAGGGGTGTAAGCTGGATCGGTTACATTGTCTAGCTATAAAGGGGATGGATATTATGATTCCATGGGTTATCTAAAAATACGATTCTTGGAAAGTAGAAACTCACTAGATATTTCGAGCATATTGATAGCACTCTTTGCTACAAATAAAGATTATAAATAACTGAAAAGATTGATTACTGGGACTAACATTTGCATAATATCTTATCTTAACTTATCCATGTAACACATATAATAGCACTATGCGAAAATTTGTTTATACATTAATGTACGTGGTAGAGTCTTCCAGATTACGTACTGAGAGAGAGATTCATTAAAACTCTTCCGAAACGTTATCATAAGCCATCGAGAGGGTTCCAGATCCCGAATAAAGGCAGTGCATTTTCAATTTGCCCAAAGGTTTAGGACTGCTAGTCACAAATATTTATTAAATAAATTTAAATTACACAAAATTCTGCAAGCTGTTCAAGAAGAATGCTCGTTACTGCGTTTCATCAAAAATATGAACATTCTTTTCCCCAATTTGATGTTAAAATCTTTATCAGAAATGTAACTAACCTTAATTTAAATCATCAGATAAAACACAATTAAGACAAAGTATGGGGTTCTTCATTGCTGGTAATTGTATTTTCTTCTAGCTTGTAGTTATGGTATAATAATTCCTTGAGACCACTCGATTAAACAATTTGATGGGACACTTTAACATACACAAAATATACATAAATATCCTTATATTTAAAGTGTGGGACTTGCAAATTTGGAAACGTGTTCGTCTTCACGTTCCGAGTCGTGACAACAATCACCAAACTTTTCTACACACAATTTGAATCAGAGGCTCAATTTGTCTGCGGAGAAACCAGTGACCGTTTCCAGGACGGGAACATGGTAACAACATACAGCATTCACTCAACTACGGTGGCCAAAATGACTGTAATGTCATCCGGCTTGCCGCCAATGGCCTCGATATTGTTGCGTCGAGCATTTAGAGTAAAGGGCGAGATATAGTCCGAGTTGAAGCTGAGCATTCGTGCCATCAAGGCTAAACAGTTGGCGGCCATCTGCAATTGTACGGGATCGTTGACGCCCTCCAGTTCACTAACTACTTGGAGTAGTAAGTCATCGGACACATTGTCAAAGATACCGTCGGTTGCCAGCAATATAACATCGCCGGGTTTTACTGCAAGACATAAAATTTCTGCGCACTCCGGCCCATCTGATAGCACTTGAAGGTTATGTCCGGGAGGCGGCATCGACAGCTGGTATGGTGTGTTGAAAAAGTGCTGCTGTTCTCGCGAGCGACAGACTATGGCGCCGTTGCGCAGCACTAGAAATCCACTGTCCCCAATATTAGCCGCGTGTAGGGTGCTTCTTAGCCGTTCGAAGGTCACCACACAAGCCGTGCTGCTGCCTAGAATCGGTTGCTTCTGCTCCATCAGATCACAAAAACTGGAAGCCAACAGCTCTGCTGGCTTGGAGGGATCAAAGCTCTGTCCATGGACTAGCCGCTCGCAGCTGTGCATCAGATATGAAGAGAACTGGCCGGGGTCGATGCCGTGTGCACGCCATCCTCCTACGCCGTCGGCCACTCCCAAAACATCCGCTGAAGCCGTGCTGGTCTTAAACCAAGCGTCCTCTCCAAATTTTCCCTGGATGTAGTTCGGGTAGAGATCGGTGTCCTTCGCAAAGCCGCAAACCACAGCCACCAGATGCGGATGACAATCAGAAAAAGCCAATGCCGAACCTGAAACTGGCACCGCATCATCAGTTGGAGCTGGCCTCTTCTCGTGCTTTAGACACATCAGGCTATGGACCAGCTGGGCACTCCCGTTGGCTGTCATCTCGCTGGCCAACAGTGCCGTCTCCATCAGTGTGTTGTAGCCGGTGCTCAAGACGCGTTGTATGGCGCGTTTAGCATTTTCAATCGAACCCATGCTGAGCATATTGGCCAGAGTTTAACAGTTATGCGCCGCGAGAGAATTGTGTTTAGCCAAATAGAATAAAGCGCCAAGAGAAAACTTGTTTCGTTTTATATTTTGAATAATTAATATTTTCTACGTGTAGCTGTGTAACGATAGTTGCAAACCAAACGAAAGCTAGCAGATAAATAAGAATTCTTTGTAGTGTTTGTAAGTATTTGAAAGGTTGCCGAAGTAAAAATAAGAGCATGCTCTGTTCTTGTCAAATAATGTCGAACACAACAGCAAATAAACGATTAAGTTGCTTGTTAGAACTAGTTCTCCCAACTTACTTTAGATTTTGTATTGCTATACAAATTTTTGCGCTCAAAGCACAACTAGAGGAGGTCTGTGCTATTCATTGTTCGGCTCCTTTCTTCTTTACATAAATAAGTATAAAGGTGGGCCCCGTTTAAGAAATATTACAAAAGATTTCAATAGTTTTGCTAACGTGAAAAATGTGGTAATACTTGTACATTGATTTAATGATGGAAAAATCGACAAATAGCTGCATCTTCACTCAAAAGACTCCTGACTAAGCGCTGTTCCAAAACTGAAGCCATTCAATCACTGCCAACTCCGGAGCACTGAAAATAACTACAATACTGAAGTCCTTGAGAGTTGACAACACAGTGTTATTAGGATAGCTGACAATCGAGCAACTGCCTTAGCTGATTGACCTTCCGTTCTAAGTCTAATTATAATTCAACAAGGAACAGATTTATAGGAGAATACAATTATGCCGTTTCATTGAATATCCTCTTCAGCTCGAAATAATTTGTTCCCTTTCCAGTAATCTCTTCTAGCCAGTACACTATTGTGCAGGAGTTGTTCTCTGCATGTCTGGCCTAATTTTTCCTCTAGCTGGTCCTCCTCTTCTTTCAGTTTATACCCTACTTTAAAGGCACAATTCCATCTTCGTATTCCACTGCAGACTTGGGCTAACTTTTGTCCAAAATTCGGAACTGATTGCAGTTGTAATGCCAAGTCGCATGCAATTTATGAAACCGAGCCATCATTTTACTCATTTGCCAATGGGCTTTTTTGCGGCTTAGTGTATCTAAATGCACACAAATGTGTTGTTAAGTGTCTGTTGGGCTGGCAAACAAAAACAGCTGTCTACTTGCAGGAGGCGCCAACATAGTCAGGAGGCATCCATCTAGACAACGCCAGTCTGTCAATCAGTCACTGGCATCGAGAAATTTTGTGTCTGCTTGTCTGTCTGTCTGTCTGCCTGTCTGGGCTGGGCTGGGCTTTGGATGTGGCTGCGCTGTGGTGCTGTGCATGTCTGTGGCTTGCCTGCCTATCTGTTTGTCGCTCTATTTGCTTCAACACCCACTGCAAATTAAATTCATTAGTCAACTTCCGGTTTCACATACACACACACACACACACACTCCTCACTCAGATCTATGTATATACAATGAACGTTGTTGCCATGTGTTGCTGTTTTGCCTGCTGACTGGCTGACTGGCTGCCAATTCAGACAGATTTGAAGTCAACTCAATTTGAAATCAATAGTGTGTGAATAATCTCTTCACGTTCGCCCGCACAGCACCAACTCACAGCTCTGATGGCACTGCTCCAAATACCGATTAGGCTGCCTAGGCTGCGTAGGCTCCCTTCCTTCCCTCTACCCTTCCTTCCCACCTTCCTCATTTGTCTATGACGTTGCATCTGCTGCTGCATTTGACTGCCTGGCTGGGCACTTGAAAACATTTTTGCATTGATTGCACTTCATATCGTTCATTCATACATTCATTCATGCAGGCCATTTATTCATGCCCGCTCGTAGCTTCTAGCCAGCCTGTTGGCTGTTCGTTGGCTGCCATTGGCATGTGTTGCATAATTTTGGGGTAAATATGGCAACCAAAAAACCAGCCATTAAGCGTCGGTGGCGTCGGTGGCGTCGTAGCCGTCGTCGTCGTCGACGTCGAAAGTATTTAAGCAATTCAATGGCATTTTGACAGCAGTCGCCCATACGCTATACTCGCACACCATAGCCACTTCACTTCACTACGTCGAGTGGCGGGCAATGAGCTATGCATGCTATTTAAGCGCCCCCAAGTGCCGCAACACATGCTCCCATGGTCTGTTTGGCCATTCCTGAATCGGCACCGAAAAAAAAAAAACCAAAAACAACAACAACAAAAAAATGCAGAAAAATGTGCAGTCAAGTCGGCTGACTGGTAGTCCTATTAAGGTCGTTGGCTATCAAATAGGCTTACGTTGTAATTGAAAGAGATGAGGGATGAGGTGTAGAGAGAAAAGAGAGAGAAAGGGAGAGTTGTCTAGCGCCTTTGTCTGCATTCAGCAGTAATTGTGCATAATTGAGTTAAATTTTCATTTAGTAATGTAGTATTGCTTGAAAATATTATAATTATGATGATGTGAAAAAAGGCGAGTTTCCCAAATTCTTGAAAAGATTACTGAACAAGAAAGTCTTGAGATTTTGTTTTCTTTAATCTCTACTTAAAAGAGAGAGATAAAAAGTAATGTTAAATGGAACCACAACAACAGATCAAATGCTCTGAGATGAGAGCTTTCTCTAGCTAGGCAGTTTTAATTTCATAAATCGTTCTCTTAAAAAGATTACTGAACAAGAAAGTTTTGAGATTTTGGAACACCTACTACAACAATGCAAGTTTTCTATAATCTCTACTTAAAGGAGGGATATTTAAAGTAATGTGGAATGGAACTACAAAAACAAGCAATTTCATCGAATAGAGGAGAGCAAGTTAGACATTTTCAAATGAGCTAAGTAGAGTATTTAAACCAATGCCCTGCACGTACATGCATACACTGCTTTATATCTAGTACGTATGTATGTATATATATGAGAATTGGATATTTAGTAAGCCTATCCAGCTTCAAATTGATTGACAGTTATTTTGGCAAATGTCTGGCTAGCTGTCGCACTAAAGATTCACAGAGGCTTTCGTTTCTGCTAACCCAAATCGGTTAACTAATCAGCCAAGCGTTGCAGCAAATGCAAGCAATTGCTGCATACTTATAGGCACATGCCTTCATTCAAACAACCATTCAATTAATTTCATTAGAATTGTACAATTAACGCACATGCTGTACAATGCCGGACAATGCCGGACCAAAAAGTGGCCAGTCAGACTCTGTTCCCTTGAGCCGCCACTCAACGACAGACACTGACCAATCGACCGACCGACCCACCGGGCGACCGACTATTGTTCACCGTTGTCCGGCCACACAAAAGCCGTGCCCAACTCCAATGGAGACCCGGAGTGGAGTCTCGGGCTGACAGCTACTTGTGTGCGTTAGCCACAATTGTTGCTGACCAATGATCAATTTAATAGGAAAACAATATTGATAGCCCTTTCCAATGGGTGACGGACACAAACACTTCAAGCGGCCAAGTAGCAAGCGGAAGTGTTGCGCACATCAACTGTGGAGTGTGGGGTGTGCGTGCGTGTGTGTGTGTGTGTGTGTGTGTGTGTGTATGTGTATTGGCGTATTTCTGTCTGTCTATTTGCCTGTATTCTGTTTGTTTGTTTGTTGGTTGGTTGGTTGGCCTGAAAACTTACAAAACTTTTGGTGTTGTGTTGTAACTAAATTTTAAAATACACACACACAGAGATATAGTGGGGACCTGCATAGTTAGTTGGAAACACTTTCACTTGTGTGTGGCCTTTTCCGAGCCTTGCCCGGGACTTTGTTTGGTTTCTTGTGGTTGATTATTCACGCCTGAATTGATTGTAAATTAAAGTTTGCCCGGTTGGGCTGCCTGTCGTCATCAACATCGTCGTCGTCCTAGACGCTTCTTCTGCATTTTGTGGTCAGCCTATTGCAAAGTTTTCTTTTGTGTGTGCATTGAATCTTGTTGGTCGAGTACCTTTTGTTCCGGCCCAGCCCGGCCCGGCCCGACCACCTACTATATATGTTTGTATCCACACATACAGTATGGTAGGATGAGGCTCTGATATTTTCATCTCGTTTCATAATGCCTTGTGTCGGTCCTGGCTTGTCCTGCCTTGTCTGGCCGCTAGTTGGGTCTACCGCCTCGCTGCCCCTATTAGAAGCCAAAAGGCATTCAAGTGCACATAAGACGATTACACATCATTTAACCGACGCACTGTAAAACTATGAAGCAGTCAGTCAGGCGCCTTAAGCCCCACCCCAACCCCACAACATTCCTCCATCTAATTCTGTGTGTAATTGTTGCTTGCATGCCCGTAGTTGGAGTCCTACTCTCGCTTCTATTGACTGTTGCATATTGATTATTGTTACAATGTTGCTTCGCCTTCATTCCTTGCCGGAGTTAATTTTATTCCTCTCTTGGCATGACTTGACTTGATTGCTAGCATTTGTCGTCCTTACTTAAAATTCAATCGTTGCAGTCATGTGTGTGTGTGCGGGAGAGTGTCTGACTGTGTGCCTCGGTATGTGCTTTAAGACGAAATTAATTTGGTGTTAATAAAGTGCAAGTGCGAATGTGTATGCTGGTTCTTGTGTGGCTTTAAGGCCATACGACTTAGCGCGTAAATATAAAGGTGTCGGAGTTATGTTGCACATCAGAAGTAATTCAATTTAAGAATCTGGCTAATTTGGACTTCCTTGATAACTGATTTGGGGTCGTAGAGAATATATTTTGATTCCTCTATAATGAGCAAGTAGACCTTGGCAAGTAAGCCTTTGTCCATGGGGCCAGACTGCCAATTTTTTGGCATGAATTCGAAAAATGAAGTTAGAGAATTTAAATTTGGCATGTGTGTTCTTACACAATGTTAAGGTGTTAAATTTTGGACTAATCCAACCACGCCCACTCCTACCGTCCATATAAGACACAGATTTTGTCACTTGTTCTTCTTACTAACGTGTGTTCATGTATTAGTATTATACTATATTATACTTAACCTAGATTTCTGTAGTTTCTCAAATAGCCAGCTGGAAACCGCGCCAGCATCCAAATATGCATAGCAGAATTTAATCTCAGTTATTAAATAAACGTGCCCGAAAAACCGCAAAAACCATATAACATAAGTTAATATAAATATTCTACTTTTATTTGGCAATATTACTTTTTCGCAGATAGTTGCAGAAAGTATGTTTTAACTCCACAATAGACGGACACTTTGGTTAAGTTTTATACATATATGAAGAACACCAATAATGCACACAAAAAACAATTTAACAAATACGAACAAATTATTTTTTTATATAAACTTTCTAAATACCCAGACCTTTCATTTCCATTATTACCATTTTCTTATTTTTCATAATTAAGAAATTGATAAGCTCGCAAAGTTAGCAAACAGTTTCGCGTGTTTTACTATAAAGCCTTGCAGATCGAACAACTGACTTTAAAGTGTTATCAATATTACAGTGCTTTAAGAAAGTAATATCAAAATAAGAATTTGCTTCCGCGAAATTTTTGAATTTATGCCAAAAAATCGGCCGTGTGTCTCAATGTGCTTTGGTGAGAACTTTTATTTCATGTTTATTTGTATATCTTTTAATAAAAAGAGGCACCGATATGTATTTCAATCATTACTCTTCGCTCTCTGAGGAACAAGATTTTGTTTTAACAATATTTGTGTTTATAGCTTCTACTGCCTTTACTCAGCATTGATCATACTTAGGTGAGTACGTTTCCTATCTAACGCTATTAAAATTCCACAATTAAAACACAATTAATGAGCACTTCCGGTTATAAGAACGTATTGTGTATTTTTGTTTTTCGTTCACATACAGACTAACTCACTTGTATTTGCTTAGTGACTGTTCAATTTTCAGCGGAAGTTCTTACTTTTCTTACCCAAAACAATGCCGCGAAATTTTATGTGGCGCTCTGAGCCCGCTCAGTCGTGTACTTTTTGGTACGACTGCGCATGAGAAGCGCATCATAAAATTTGCCGGCACCTTTCGCTGAACACCACCGGTTACCTGGAACGCTCCAACACATCCCTGGCCTCATTGATCTTGGCCGCCAGATAGGGAGATCCACCGCGATCGGGATGATTGGCCAGCATGATGCGCTTGTGGGCAGTGCGCAGTCGCGCCCTGGGTGCGCTGCTGCTCACTCCTAATATTTCTGCCGCTTCGCGCCGGGTCATCTTGCTCTGGAAGCCACCGTTGCAGTAGCGTCGACTACTTAGGGTTCCAAACATGGGGGTCTGTTGCCAAATCTTCGAAAATTTCATTGTTGCCAGGAGAGGCGCGCGACGCAATAGCAATTGACCAGCAAAGCCACAGGCAGCCACACCGAGGCCGAAAAAAAAGAGCGAGTTTTTTGGGCTCTTGCTAGTCTGCATTGTAAAAATTGGATTGCCGGAGAATTGAAGACGTTGAGACTTGAAAAATTTATAGCAAATGTTTTTGGTAGCTAACTTATAACGTTGAAATAAAACATGAGACGTGGACTGCTGTGATTTAACCCCAAGTATGCAAAGAACATTCGAACATTTTTTAAGGTCTCCTTGAGTGTTGAGTAAAAGAATAGAAATACAGATTGAAAATTGTTTGGCATCGGACTGCAAATATTTTAATTTTGTTTTTTTTTTATATTTTTTTAATGTCTTAATTTTAGATCTGTACTTGATTGGACAATTATTAAATTTTATAAAAACTTGAAACTTTGAACATGTCGCTGCGATGATGATTGCGGGTTGGTTACTTACATTGTGTGATTTGCTTAGCTCCCAAAAATTTGAAAAGCTTTAGGATTTTGCGTGTCATCCTTGGACCGGGGCCATGCTAATCTTCTCTGTATCGTTCCAAGCTTAAGAACAGACTGCAAATATTTCTAATTGAAAACTTTTGTGCCTTGTGCGGAGCAATTGTTTTTTTTTTTGTTTGGAATTGGTGAGTCATCCTCATATATTATTTGATGGAAACGGAAACAAGCCTGATAATTGTTCTACGTAAGTTCTATTGAAGTTTTCGAGCCAAAAAAGTAAACTACACCTAATTCTGTTTTTACACGGTCTTTTTTTTACACGATTTTCATATAACACGGTTTGAAAATTAAAAACTGCATACATATATATATGTTTTAGAGTTTAGAGGAACCAATCACCTATTTTTGCATATGATCAATGTCTTTTTTTACACGGTTGTCTCTGGAATCAATGTACCGTGTAAAGACAGAATAAGACGTATATTGGTATTATAAAAATGAGCTTAAAATGCAACCTAAAGTATTAAACTAAATCACAAAAACAGAGCAGCAATAAAAATCGTAGTACTCCTACATGAGATGTTTTTAACGATTGCCAGTCGCGCTGTTCATTTTTGCGATTGAATGAGAATCGGGCGGGACTAGAAGTGGTATTTCATTTCTTTTTCTTTTTCAAATCTCGATCTCAAGTAGTTCAACTCCGTTATTGCTAGACGGGATTCTCATATAATGGGTTAACATGTTTATGAGTTCTTGTTTAGCATTTTGTGGGCAGTTTTATTACGGACTACTTGGTAGGCGAAGAAGGGTTATAGTTGAGCAATGATTTCTCCTGTCACCCCATCATATACACGCACACACACACACACACACACGTGCGCATGACCGCAAAGTACCTTTTAAGCTCGGCGTTGTGTGCCTGAAGTTCAACTGCTTAGGCAACAAACTTTTACCACTTGGCCACATTGCTGAAGTAGTCGAGAGAAGTAGTCGCAACTACAACGAGAACTATAGCCCCGCACTGTCCAGGCCTGCACTCGGCTGGTCCTCTGGTCCGATCCGGTCCTCTGCTGCTGCTGCTGCTGCTGCTGCATACCAGTGTCGTCAAACTCGCTGCATACTTTGTGGGGCGCAGCAGCTTGGACATCAAAGTTGGCAACTTTCAACTTGAGGAATTTCGACAAGGCGACTTGGGTACTTTTGTTACTTTTGCTGCCGTTAGAGAAAGAGAGATACCTGAACACACACACACACACAAACGCACAGCAGTATGGAAAGAAAAAAATTAAATAATGAAGCGCCACGAAGCGTTGTCCAAAGCAGAACAACAAGAAGAGCAAGCGGCAGAAGCATAAGGAGCGGCAGAAGAAACAGTACCAGTAGCAGTAACAGTAACAGGCATAGACTTTCGGCAACGGCTTTTAATTGTTGTGCTGTGTGTTGGTCGCTTGGCTGCCCGGATATAAATTTGCACAAGGACGAGCAGCTCTCTGGCATGAGTATGAGCATGAGCATGAGCATGAGCAGGACGCTGATGCTCAGGTGTCCTTAGTGGTGTTCTAATTACTAACAAACTTAATTTTCTACAAGTTATTTTGGTGCGGACTTCTGCTCAACTACATGGCCACTTGACTACATTTGTAGCGGGCGCCCCTCCACCTCTTTCTGCTCTTTTTCATGCCCAGCTTTTCTTTTGGGACACTAAAGCCACACGCGCCTGGTTTACTTAGTGGGGCTATTACTGTTAGTCAGTCGACTATTTTATAGTCGTAACAAGAATTGAGGCCTAAAAAAATAATATAAAAAATAGATTCACATACAGATAAATAACTTAATTCTATTGAAACCGAATTCTATTTAAAAAGCAATTACAATAAATATGTATATGTTGTTTGTGTGTGTGTTTTGTTTTTCTAGAGTAACTTTTTGTGAATATTGGGATCAATAGCCGACAATGCCGGGCGGTCAATTGAAGAACTTTCGCTGTCAGGATTGTCACATGAAGAGCACTTTTTCGGAAGGCACTCATCTGAAGAGTATTCGCTTGCACGGCTGTCATTTGGAGCGCTGATCATTGCACGAGCGCGTCTTTCAGCAATTCTCTTCTCCCAATGCAAGCGTTCCATCATCAACGCATTCGCACTCTTCTCATCAGTGAGGTAGTCAATGTCGTAGATCACGGTCTTCAATTCGATCATATGTTGAGTGATCTTCTTGCGAAGCAATGGCAGCACAGCATTGTAGCTCTGACATTCTAAATACAGTTTGGAATCTAAACGCATCACTGGCATTTCATCTAATATGATATCTAAGTCCACTTCGAAGAAACCCGTCTGTACAATCTGTTTGGAGAGCAGTGACTGTTTTCCCTCCATAACTGACTCGTTGCTAGACTTTTCCCCTGAGCACAGATTCTCAATCTCCATCAGTGTGTCCAACGCTAGCGGCACATATTCACGCAACAGCTTCTCAGTCGACTTAAGCTGTATTTCTAAGGCGCAGTATTTGCTATGAAGAGCTGATCCAAGACCTAGCAATTCCGGAATGTTGCCATTGTTCTCGGCCAGCCATTTGCTTACTTCAGTAAAGTGCATTGCAATCGGAATGTCGTGAAAGCACTTTCGACTTTCATCCGGAAACTTCGGCATTGGCCAGGATTGAATGAATTTGTTGAAATTTTCCATTGCTTTTGGGCTTGATGTTAGTTTGCAAATGATGAAAAGATAAAGTACTTATGTTACGATGTGTAAATTAGAGCCTACTTTGTACTTTGCCTCAACTGGTACATATTTTTGAAGTGAAACATCTTAAGTGAGGGCTTGGATCGGCAATCTTTTCGGTGACGAAAGCAATGACGCGATGAACAGCAAGTAAACAAATTGGTGGACATTTTTTTTATATCTTTTATAGCGGATTTTATAGCTATTTGTAGCAGTAATTTTTAGCCATTTTCTAACGCCTTTTCTATATATTTTTAGTGTATTTTCTAGACATTTTCTGGTTGATTTAGAGCGAATTTTCTACTCTCTCATATCCAATATGAACATGGAATCGTTGAGGGAATTTCATTTGCGCTTCCAGCCAGCTATGCTTTAATTTACAGCCAAAGGTGGCTAAAAGTGTTATTTGAACAAACAATAAAGTAAACTACAAATAATTAGCCTTACAATATTTGAGACAATGACGCCAAATTAAAAATCTTGAGGAATCCGTGACGCTGTCAAAGATGATTTATCGACCCGACCGGCAAGTTTTGCCATCCGTCAGGCAACCTTTCATTGGGAAAAGAAAGCGAAATGGGAAATCCTTTTTTAATTAAGACATAAAACTCAACTTGGAAACACATTTGCTTAAAGATAGGGATAGCAGACATCTAAAAAGTGAAGAGAGAAGAATCTAAATTCTCAGCAATCATCTACTGCAGAAAGACAACGGTACTTTGGGTATTCCAAATTAAAGAATTAAATACATAGTCGAATTGAGGATTTTGAAGATGAATGAAAAAGATATCTAACCATATCTTTTATATAACCGCTTTCATTCATTAGATGCATTTGTTTGCCATGCACATGTCAAGTTGGTTTTCCAACATCATCTTAAGCAGCTACATGCCAGCAGCAGCGTTGGCGAAGTCTCAACGCGGTCTGTTTCTGTTTCTAGCAACGGCGTTGTGACTGTGACCGACCCATGGAGCCACGGACAGGCGGACTGACACAATGGCGGAGCGGCGGACCAATGGACTTATGGGCCGGTCAGAATGTTCATTGTAAATTATGCGCTTTGGTTTACAAATTGCATGTGCTCGGCAACACAAAGCATGTGGCAAGTTACTTGGACAGCAGTACATGCAGTCGACTTACGGGCCTTGCTTTGGTCTAAGAACCATCACCCCCGTCCCCGTCCCCCTCCCCCTTACTTTTATGTGTTGTGTAACTAATGCGTGGTCAAAGTTGTTTGCATGTATTCAAATGAGCAGCGTCGCAGCGCGCGCTCTCCTAAGTGCTATGGCTGCAACTTGTTTGGCAACTTCTTAGACATACTTTTCTTATGGCCCCATAGACATAAGGGTATGGAGTGGACACCAAAAGCCAAGAGCATGCTCGATGGCAGATGGGGATGCGGATGGGGATGGGGATAGGGATGCGAGGTACGCATGGCCGAGAAATATTTTATGCTTTACGTGGTTAGGTTACGGCTGCTTGAGAAATTACGTGGCGCGCCGCATGCAGCCGCCAGGGGGCCTCCACCCACCCTGCCGCCCGCTGCTGACCCTCCCCCCACACCCATCTATGCAGCCCACACAATTGTCCTTTGTCTTTGTGCGGCTGCATTTATTTAACATGCGCTGCCTAAAAGTATGCAAAGTTATTTCTTCTAACAGTGCACTGTGGGATGGAAAACATATTTTTCTCTCCTGTAATTATTTGTCATAATAAACATTACCAGTTAGTGTGAACGAAATGAAATTTGAAATCAACATCAAGACAATAGGATAATATGTGCGGGTCGATAAAGAAAATCACGGAATTCCACAAAGCAACCTGCTTTTCAGTCAATTTTCAACTTTCATTTAGCTTAGCTGCTGCCCCTCTTGCTGCACTGATTTCTTGAATTCATATATTGGAATATTATATTGTAAGATGTAGACCACTGTGCGTTGGGTGTAAATGTTTTTGTTGGCTGTCTGCACGAGCTCCTAACTAAGTAAATGCGCACAGGCCTCCGTCTAACTCTAAACGCATTTGACTTGAGTTTTTATCTCTCCCACTAACCCCCGACCCACTTGCAATGGCAAGTCCAGCGCGACCCTCTCAAATGCTTTTGTGTACTTAGCCAAGGGAAAAAGTTGTAAAAATCGTGTAAAAAATTTTCGCACACAAAACGTGCAAAATACGTTTAGTTTGGTGGGTGTATGTATGTGTGTGTGTGTGTGTTTGTGTGTGTATATGTGTAGTCGTCGCCATGAACTGGACTCTAATAATTTATTTTAATGATAATGCATAGCAGCTATTTTGGTTTTTGGGGTTTATATGTGATGGGCAGTAGAGAGAGAGAGAGAGAGAGAGAGAGAGAGAGAGAGAGAGAGAGAGAGAGAGAGAGAGAGAGAGAGAGAGAGAAAAGAGCTTCTTAGCGTGGACTGGGAGCTTAAAAGGGCGCTTGACAATTGTGGTTACGGTTTGTTGAGTATATAAAAGTATATAAATTCTAGGTACGTAAGTTTCGGCACCTAACTAGAATTTGTTTGAGGCCGCAATGTTTTTCAACTAACTGCAGTTTCCTTCACTTTTTCCCCCATTTTTTTTTTGTGGCATTTCTGCTTGTCATAATAATATGCTGAAGATATTAAGGACATGACACGCCTACTCAAGCGTTAGGGCAATAGATGGAATGGTATGGCGAGGGGGTGCAAGAAGTATCTGCGCATTATTGTAAAACCCTTTCGGCGGCTACAAGACAAGTGCAAAGTTTTTCCACAAAAAGTTTCATAGAAGTATAAAACTTGTGCATTTTTCTACAACAAACCGAAAAAAGAAAAAGAGGGCGGGGATGGGAAGTGAAATAAGAAAAAAGTCCAAGACCGCATAAATATATACTACATTTATATATATATGTATTTTTTCGGTGTTGCTTAAAACAAAATGCAAATAAAAAACTTTTACCATTGCCTGGGCGGCCTTTTTGGTGTTGTTGTCGTATTTTTTTTATTACTTTTCTAAGAACTACATTGAAGTGGAAGGGGGGAGGGTTAGGGGATGCTCGGCTGGTCACGTTGCGTGTGCGCGCGCCTTGGCCAGTCGTTTGTCGTTGAAGCGTCCAGCGACAAGCAAAAAGTAGCCCATACGTCTTGGCCACTAACCGCAATGGCAGCAGCAACAGCAACAACACTAGCAAGCGGCACTTAGCACAACCCCTAGGCTGACCTGACCAATGTGTTGAGGGAGCGCCTTTTTTCTTCATCATTTCCTTTTGGTGATGATATTGTTGTTGTAACTGCGCTACGAGTATTTTGCTTTGTACGAAGTGCGGCAGTTTTCCGTCTTTCATTCGCTCATACTTTTCCAAATTGTTTCCCACAATCGCACTCTATTGAAGGCTTTTGAGTGCTGGTCAATTGCTTTAGCCGTTTATGGGTCAAGTGGGCTACCAATCCGAATGCCAGCTGCCGCAAGTGGCCGAAAGTAAAGGAAAACTCACTCGATATATCAAATGGATTTATAGCTCTCCCCTGCAATTCACACACCTTAATCAATCAGGTGCGAAATCAGAAGAAACAAAGCATTAAAAGTGGAGGGCAAGACCTCAAATCAAATACAATTTTCGCTTCAAGCTCTAATTTACAGAAGTAAATCTCAGTCGCTGATGATTGATGTTCATTAAATAATCAATCATAAGAAATATGGCGATTTAGAAAAGGAGAGTACTCTGCGAAGCTTCCTGTAGATAGATCTGGCTCGTGTTTAAGGTCTCTGTTATTAGAGTAAAGCAGCTTAAGCTCAACTATCGCTTATTCTGATTCGAGCTTATTTCTTATGATGTCAATATGCAGGATCAGCTGAGATTGAGATTTGTAAAGTGAAGTCAAGAAGTTGAGAATCTTTAAGGAGGTCTCATCAGCCTATTTGTAGAATTGGACAAGTTTTTTTTGTCTGTCTTAGAAAAGTTTTAGTCTTATATGAAGAACAAATATTTCGATTGACGAGCAGAGACCCAAATGATTTGGTTTTTAATATATTGCAAACATTTTTGAAAGCTTTTTAGTTGGCTATCGTCGACTTATACATTTTTGCAGGGATTGCAGTTTCCAGCGATTTTGAGATAACTAAAAAGTGTACTTACATATAAATGCGTAAATGTACTTACATATATTAGTACATATGTATGTGTATATCAGTATCCTTTATTGAGCGCTTGCTTTTTCACATTAATGTAATATAACTCTTATGTCTATACACAAAAAAAAAAAAATAAAAATGGTATCATATATGACCACATGTCATTTATCCTTATTGATTCAATATTTAGGGTAAGACTATTTGTATCTCCTTTCGATGCAATTTATAAATTAATGAGCTTCGTTTATCTACGTTTAATTACATCGACCTTTTGCGATGGCACCCGTTCCCATAATTGTCGGAAGTTGGCATCCGATTTCTTGGGATTGAAATGCATGATGGTGTCACGTGTATAGCCGTTCAGTGTGGCCGGCAGTTCGGCTGAATCGTCATCGTTAAAATTGTGCGCCAAATGGGCCGCCTCATCATAGCCCACTGACTCATCCATGAACTCCAGAGCGCTTGTCTAGAAGTGATTGCAATATGCAGGCAGCTGGCACACATGCGAGTATACATACATATGCGTATATATGTATGTATATGTCTCTGATACTTACCACGTGCAGCAGCATCGACGCCAACAACAACAGCAATGGAAATGTGCAGCCAAAGGAGGCCATGACACAAAACGATATGAAAAGGCCAAAAACAATTGCAAAAAGCGTGGCTCACAACATTTTACGTTGACCAACGAAACTGAACTGGTCAGCTACGAGTATTCGAGTATAGTTGTACATTTGTTTGATGGCGACGATGACTACGGCACTGGCCCCTCCCCTCCCCCCTCCCAATGCACTGTACTACTCCCCTCTAGTCCACGGAATTCGCTGTGGCGTGCTACGCATGAGCTGCCAATTGCGCTCGAAGTGAGCTCCGGTCGGGGCTCCACGTGTGGCGCATACCAAAAAGCTTCTCTGACCCTACCAGCGCGTTATTTTTAGCACGCCGCGTAATTTGCCAAAGCACCGAGTAGCGGCCCCCTTCCAACCATTCGACAAACACCTCAACCACTACAGTCGCTATTGTTTGTAAAGCTTTCAACACTGCTTAACCCTCAGCAGCCCCACCGTTCCGATAAATGAGCGGGCAGCAAGCCACAGCATATACAAGTGTACGCCGATATTGACTCATACTACTCGTATATGTCTCGTATAGTGGCTCGTTCGTTTTAATGATGAAAATTACTTTTGTTGTTGTTGTTGTTGTTGTTGCTGTTACTGTTGTTGCAGTTGCTGATTGAATTGAATGAAAAACCCGTAGAACAAACCATTGTTCGGGTTAACTGTTATGAGTGCCCAGTTTTTGTTGCGCATTTCGAATTGATTCGATGAGTTTTTGCTTTGTTTTAATTTCGTCAATGGAGCAGGCGCAGAGGGTAGGCAAAGGGGTAGGCCAGGTGTTAGACAACCTATTAATTTGAGTGCTGTTTTGTATTGTTGCCGTTGTAGTTTTTGTTGTTGTTGTTGTTGCCAAATTACCGTGTGCAAAGTTGTTGAAGCGTTCGTGGAGCAGGTGGCACATCAAATGGATAATGAACTTGGGTAGCCACTTTCCCTCCTTTGCTAGCTGGAACATAACAAAAATAATAAAGCTGGCATGAACCACTAAGTGGTAGTCTAGATTATCATGATAATGCCTAATAATGCTGTGCAATTTGGTCCACAGATATTGGCTCTGCTTTGCAGTAAGATGGAATCGATAATATCATTCATTTGTTGGCCATTTTTTTTTTTTTTTAATTTCCATCTAAGCTTGGTGTTTTGAATATTGCATCTCGCCGACTTTCTCTCGTCTTTAATTATGATTCATATTTTTGCCACAACTTGGCCGTCTTAGTCGATATAGAAACATATACTTCCTAGTAAGTCCCATATATGATTTATCCAAAGCCAACAATATAATATTAATACAAGCTGAATTCTTTTATCTTCTTAAATGGCTTGAAAATGTTGGGTGTTTTTCGTTAATGCAAGAAATTTATTTTTTTTTGCATCGACAAGAAAACGTGTAGCAATTAAATTAAATGAATTTTTATTATTATTCTCAAAATAATGGAAACCAATTGTTTTGTTGAATGTATAACAAATGTTGAAAAGTAAATGTACCTTAAGTTCGACTTCAACTAAAATAAGCGTGGTTGATTAAGTCATTTCTACGGCCAGTATAGATATAGAAGATATACGGTATTCGATTTTGACAACACATCAAATTAGAGAAAGGCGCTAAGAAAACGTATAAATAAATCATAAAATCAATTTATTGACAGTATTTTTTAAAACATAAAAGCTATCATGCTAAAAGGGATTTTTGTAGCGATCGGCCCTTTATGAATTAATGAGTTAGTGAACTCGCTTTGAATATAGAAAAGAAAATATATAATAGTTCAATTATCGGTATTTATACAACTATTCAAATGACAACTTATGTATACTTGTGTATCTATCCCGTTGTTGTGATCATAAGATGGAGTCTGCCATGCCTGCTTCTGTCGGGCGTGTTCCTACTTATAGTCTTTCACCATTCAATTAGGTGGCTAAATATATCATAAAGTCGCCGAAGAAACGATTTATCGCTTCCTAAATTTTGTGAGCACTTCCCATATATTGCATTGATTTAGAAAAAATCTTGCCTCCTACATAGTAGTTGTCATCCTGGCAAACAGCCATGCCTTATTTCCTTTGTATATATAGTTTCACCAAAACGATTTGCCTTGAAACTAAGTGGAGCAGTACATTCTTGTAAAAATTCAATTAGTTTGCTTTAGCTTATCGAAATATGCAATCATCATGGCCTAGGAATGAACTCATAAGTTCTACTCCAACCCATCCTCCACACTTCACATAAGCATTCGCGCCCCGGCCTGTGTCCCTTTCTGGCATACTATATATTCGTGTATATGTGAGTACTATAAGCACATTGTATCCTCCATTTAGTGCTCATAGTTAAAGATCGTTATCCAATTAGTCAAAAGCTCGTCTAATAAATTGCCTGAATTAAGGTGCGGAATTTTAATTACATAATTTACGCGTGAGTTTTCCTTTTCGTGGGAGGGGAAGTGTTCAACGTTGGCTGCAAATGTGAATAAAACAAAACAAATACAGAAACCACACAGGAACCACCAACCAAATATATAACTAGCAGTAGTATGTGAAGCGTAACCAAAAATCAACGACTCCAACAATGACCGTGCTGATGGCAACAACAACATCAACAACAACAATAAGAACAACAGCATTAACAGCAAACAACGATGACCACGTCGCGGGCAGTCAAAGTGCGTTTGATAGCTCATCTTAATAGAAAAGTACACGCAATTCGCGAGCAGGTCATTAGAAAAAATGACAGTAATAACAATAATTATGAATTTTATCCGATTAAAAGTTTGGGCGAAAGGCGCGCGCGTGTTTGGCCAAATGACGGCGCGCATGGCATAAGTCAAAACGTTAGACCCGAAGCCCTGGCCCCACCCCTAGTGACATATTCAAATACGCATATTTAGTGCAATGCGTGCCATTGAACAATTAATTCTTATCTAGTTGGACGGCCTGACTGATGCAACAGTCCGAGTGTCTTGCATCTACATACTCGTACACCCACACATGCCATTCACTCATCCACTCATCCACTACTCATATGGACATATCTCACATGTCACCGGCACCTCCAACTGTGGGGCAATTGCGTGTCAAATGCGCTCAATTTTGTTATGACAATGCGACGTAATTAGAGTCCACGCATAGGCCAACTAAATGTACGGGGACAATGGCGATGATGATGATGATGATGATGATGATGGGTATGACCTGACCCTAGCAGAAACCACCGATGATGTTGACGCGCCCTCTAAAGCCGCTAATATATAGCTGGGTGTGTAACGTGCTTGATAAATATTGCAAGCGAATGGAGGCAGGGGGAGGGAGGTACAAGCCAAATGAGCACTTACATAGGCTTGCGGAAGGATTTCAGAATGTCAGATAACAAGAAAACATATGAGAAACTAGACCCTTATGTGATGAGCTAATAACACTTCCAACAATCCATTTCACAAATCGAGATCACTTGCCAAATGAATAAACTTCTCAAATAAAAATATACAATAAAAAAATAATACTTTTACCATGGAAAATAAAAGAGCCATGAAAATGTTGGTTAACATATAGTATATTCGCTAAATTTGAAATAGTACAAATCAAATGCAATAACTATTCATAATCTGAAATGTTAGGTGTAACACGATTCTTCGCAAACTCTTTTACGAGCACCCATTTTAAACTTATTATCCAGAAACGTGCTGAACTAATTAACTCAATGCACGACAATCAAAAAATACAGCTGAAGAAAACATATAAAAACAAAGGCATGTTTCTTGACAGCCAACTTGTGAAACAACTAAATAGCAAAATGTACTATCTAAAGCCACTTCGATCCACCATCCTGGTGCTGGCTGTACTCTGTATTCTACAGTCAGTTATGTCTGCTCCGGGAGCCACTGAGTCGGATAATGGTGCTGCTGGATCGTTTACCTGCGATCCGGAAAAACTTGCAGAATATTGCAATAATATACTTATACCTATACCAGGCCTTAATAATCTATGCAAACTCGGAAAAGTGAGTAATAAAAATAATTTCTTAAAATGGGCCATTTTATTTTTAATTCCTTTATATAGGGCCCTAGCGCCATTGCCATTGAAAAAGCTCTTGAGTCAGTTTGCAAAAATTCAAATAAAATAGGTATTTGCTCTGTCTGCACCTCTGGAACAAGTGTTACAACAACTACTCCCAAGGCTTAAATACAGTCCCAGTATTCGGCGGCGATTTAACTATAAGGCCTATTGCACTTAATCCCCTTGGCATGCCATATATGTATATATATACTATATATAATAAACATAATCCACTGCACTGCAAAAATAATGCGTTCCTTGATCAATCAATTAAATGCTAGAATCATGGGATTGAATATTAAGCCCGGTGATGCGGCTTAAAATGTTGCTGCAGAGAGAGAATGTATATTCAAAATTTATCACGTCTCTCAAATTGCACAAAAACTTGGAGGCTGTCATTTATAATATAGAGCAACACTTTATTAGAAAGCTAATGTCAAATCACAGTTCCATTAACTAGATATATGAGTGCGTACAATACTCTCACAACATAGCTCATTTATTTATCATTCGTTTACGTAGTTTCTCGAAAAAAGTTTTGCAAATATGCTCAAATACACTTAATATATGTACTTGTATGCATAGTCATTAGTACAGTCATGAAGGAAAGAAAATCGTGTTTCGATTTTTTCCAGAAACCTATGTATTTAATCGTTTTTCCACACCTGCGGCAACTTTTATGAAATTACTTATATTTTTGTATACCCTGTACCCAAAGGGTGAAAGGGTGTACTAGTTTTGTGCGAATGTATGTAACATAGAGAAGAAGGAGGCGTGGCAGACCCCTCAAAGTATATATATTCGTGATCAGGGTGACAAGCCTAGTCGATATAGTCATGTCCGACTGTCTCTCCGTCTGTATGAGCGCAAGGATCTCAGAAGGTGCAAGAGCTAGAATTACCAAACTTGGTATCCAGGTTCCCCTGAGCCCTAGGCAGATCAAGTTTGTTTTTTTATTGTGATTTCTCATTTACCTTTTTGGTGGGAGGTACAGGGTATTTAAGAGTTGAGCTCGCTCGACTTTAGCATTCCTTTCTTGTTTTTTTTTTAGTAATTTGTTTGTTTTTTCTGTTTGGTGCAAAATGTATCAACAATAATAGTGCTTTTGTGACAGTTAAGCAGTCCTTGTTGAACATTCCAAATCTAAGTACTTGCAAAGCATAGCTGTCAGAAAAAACATGATGTGTTCATGATAATGATTTCCACAAATATGTGCAACAAAGGGGCCATATGTAGGAGTATATAGTATAGGGCTGGTCATGCCGAGGTGTGCAACACCGAACACTAAGCCTTCAGGTAGGCAAGTAGGCAGGCAGGCAACTAATTAAAACCACTTTAGAAATGCTTCCTCAACTGTAAAGTTAGCTATAAACAACAAACCGCCAGCAACGACCCACACAGACATCGCAGACACTGTATGTGTGTGTGTGTGTGTGTGTGTGCGCGTGTGTGTGTTTGTGTATTTGTATGGGCATGTGTGCGTAGCGACCGAGAGACATATGCAACTTGAAACAAAATTAAAAAGCAAATAATTTTCATAGCATTCTAGCAATGGCGGTGTAGGCAAAAAAAAAACCAACTTACATAATTCCAAATAATATTACAACACCTGCAAAAACGTTTTGAGTGTAAGCACACACGCACACACATGAATTCACTCACACGTATGCGTATGCATAAGCACACACACACACACTCATACACACACACCTCTGCAGCGCTGCGTGTTAAATGTGTAAAAAGGGCTTTTTCTTGAAAAATCGCTCCACTGGAATTAATTAATTTGCCGTTGGCACTGCTGCCTGCCGTTGGGTAGCCGGCAAAAGTAAATATATATGTACTATACATATACATATACATATATAAAAAATCAGGCAGCTAAATCAGAAAGATATAAAAAATATAAGCACTGCAGGTGCTACACGAAATGTCGAAAACTCTACTGTCATGGGGAGTGACAAGCAAGACATATCCTTGAAGGTGTACATTCCACCGACTTCACATTTTAATTTTGAATAGTAGATACATATTTTACCATTTAATAATACAATATAATTATATTATACAACAAATTTATTATAGATAGATATGGACAGAACTATTTCGAAGATAAAAGTGTGGCTAAGAAGGATATCAACGTATTTGGTAGAGTGTGGGAAAATGTTACACCACTAGTACTGTCTTTGATATTCCAGTATTAGTAAGTTAGTAGGAAAAGGATAGAAGTGAGAAGGTAAGAGATAATATAAATTTAAATTCAAAATAGGACCCCAAATCCATGTTAATAAATTGTCGCCAAAATATATATTTAAACGAAATATAAGTAGAGCTATGCCGCTGACATTTTCAAATCATTTTTACTTCTTTCTACAATATATATCCGATTTAGTCGATTTATATTCGTCTAAAGCGGATATTGCTTTCATGTCAAAAAGTATGTAGAAGTTCACGAATTAATATATAAGAAAAATATTTCAATTTCTTTAGATATTCAGCCTCATTATCGTTTTGAAGTTGGGAACGAAACTATTTATATGCTCTTTTATTTAAGTCGTAATGCCGAAATTCGTACTCAAAAGCTATATAAAATTTGGATTTCCAAAGGTTTTGTGTAACCATATTAAAAATATTACTAAATTGAAATCAGTAAAAGCGTATTTTTTTAAAGCTCTGTCAATGCGAATGCACGAATCTCTACAAATATGACACATGCCCGTGCTCATGTAGCGCATAATAAGTATTTGTAGTATTCATTTGTAAAGTAGCGTGCAAAAAATATATAAGTATATGTATGTATGTGTGTAAATATGCATGTACATCATATGTAGAAATAAATACACAGCAGAGCGCGTGTACAGCGTGCGTCGTATAGAAATTTTTGATTTTGATACAAGAGGCCACGCACACACACCCACAGCACGCGATGCAGACATGCTGAAGGCACTCAGCTGCATGTGTGCGCCTGTGTGGGTGAGCGTGTGCACCTGCTCATATATGTGTGTGTGTGTGTAGTGGCACTTGCTGCTCATTTTATGCTTCGATTGCCACAAAAGTGCAGACGCTTTTTGCAGCTACTGCAGCAGCAAAGCTCGCGAGAAAAAAAAATGCACAAACACTTAATACGAAATGCAATGGCAACTGCAGAAAGAACATGCCTCTGTATGTATGCACATTTGTATGAGTGTGTGTGTGCGTATATATATACATATGAAAATAAGATAGCAAACTACATGCGAGCGCTGTCGAATTTGGTATGCTCTATAATATTTGTGAGCTAACATGTTAATAGCTATGCAAGAGGGTTGTTTTTAATCGGACAAGTTGAAAGTTCGGTATTAAAAAAAAAGTAAAAAATAATAACAATTGAATCAGAAACAATTGAGTAACAAAATATTTGTTCTTCTCAATAACATTTATATGATAATAGACTGAAATTACTGAAAACAAGAAACATATTTATTTCTAAAAGCTATTTAGAAATCACAACAACTTTGTGATCTGCAGTACCTTTGATATTGAACCCATAAAGCTGATCATTGTGGTAAATATTATATTCCATCTATGATGCTACCTTCCTTGTGACACATAGTGAGATACTTAACTAATATGCTCGATTCCAGAGGAGAAGAAGCATTTTGCATTGCAGCCTGTCAAATGACAAAAAACTCGGCAGTCGAACTCAAAGGGGTGAACAATTTTTGAAGCATACTTGCAGGCTGGCCATAAAAATTCCAGCGGACCAAAAATTCAAACAAACTCACAAAATATGGCACATTGTCAATTTAAAAACCTGTACGATATAATCAAGTAGTATGTTGCATCGTTTGGTATTTGTTTGGCACTAAAGAAAGCAGAAAGAAAGAAGTTGAAAGTATTTATTAAAACTTAAAAGCCAATTTACACGACCATTCTCTCTATGAGGAACAGATACACGATTAAAAACTATGTCATATTTTACTCGTTTTACTCGTATTGCATGATTTTATTAATTTCCAGTGCCATAAGTTTGGTGCACCTCTTCAACACACAACTACACGGTGGTAATAAATGAAATGAATTTTGAATACAGATTCAGTGCCACAAAAAACTTTCATAGAAAGAGTGCGCATCGAACTTAATTAATTAAATTCACTCCTTATTTTATTTTAAACTTGTGTTAGTTAATCAAATGCTTTTGTTACACTTACATATCTATTTAAGAATTCATTAAAAAATAATTATATTTGCATTCGTTAGGTAGGATTTGTCGAAGGCGTTATTAGATTTAAATGTAGTTCGAATCAATTTTTTGTTAAGTTTTTAAAAATTAGTTTGAGTCGTACATATACGTATTCTACATATCATCTGCAGTCGCCTTATGCACTAATATTGGTAAGAGTATGTTACATAAATCTTTGTATTAATTTATAAAGTTTTTCAGTGTAAAATTAATCCGTAGCTCCGGATTGTTGTTTTGATCACGTTTTTACATTTTTTATTGTCTGATCGTTTGCGGTTTATTGAAGCGCTTAAACGCCACATCAGTCCAACTGACATTTAGGGGAACAAATTGTGCAGAACGAATCGTCGGGTCCATTAGAATTCGCGATATTGATCTAGAATTTGAACGCTATAAAACCCCCTCTGCAGAGTGGACACTCAATCAGTTGGTGTTGTGATTTGTGACAATGGCGAATAATTTGATTGCATTTGCACTGATCGTGCTGGTATGTTTGGCCGCGAGCTCTTTGGCTGCCCCCTCGCCAGATGACTTGGCCAAGTATGGTGAGTTGGAACGCACGCTGAAGGAGCTGAGTACCTCTATACTGGCCATGACTGGTGCTGGAGCAGGTGAGTACATAGTTTTTAGCTCACATATTTCATTTACCCAAGTCTCTTTTGAAAATTATAGCCGAGGTGAGCTCCTCTGATGTGCTGGGCGGTGACAACGATAATGCTGGAGCTCTGTCAGACATGAATGAGTTTTAGAAATGAGACGCCTTCCTGAAAAGTTGGCTCAGCTCTGCTTCGCTCGGCTCGGCTCGCTAAATCGCGTTTAGCAGTTTTGTAGTATGCAAAATGAATTTTTTTTTTGTCTTGGCTTAGATATTTCAATGAATAAAATATGCACCTCAAAAAGCGAATCCCTATGTGTATTTTATGAATGTATGTTTTTTTTAGCATGTGTGGTTTTTCCCGTTCTCACAATTGTTTTATTCATTTAAGCTTTTTTTGAACAATAGAAGGTGGATCATGCCATGCCATGGATATATAGTATATTGAGCTATCTCATTTAAGTAAGGCACATTGTAATGCCTATAACAATCGCAGGATAAATCATATTACTTGCACATACTACTTCCTACATTGTATGCCAACTACATATGTATGTACTAGTCTATGTATGGCACTGATGTAATTACAATTTTGAAATCTGCACAACTGGGGCAAACTTTTTTTTCTGCTGTTGCCCTCTCTCTCTCTCTCTCATCATTCTCTCTCTTTCAGTCCCTTGACTGGCGGCCTAGTTATTTCCAAACACATTTTCTACGCCGCCAGCTATAAATATAGACAAAAAAAAAATATATAAAAAAATAGCGGGCACAAATTGCACACTAATTTAATCTATGTAGTTAATTTACACGCAGTCGTCACTTTGCACGCACGACTAGCAACTACTATTATATATGTATGTACATAGTATATAATGCAGCACTATCCTATATGGCACCCCACAATTTGGATCTTTATTTGGAGAAGGAAACAAAAAAGCAAAAACAAAATACGACTGGTGGCGTTGGCGGCAATTGTCTTTAGCTATAGCTAGAAAATCAGCTGGAACGTATTGGAAACTGGACAGAGTGTCAGCTGTTGGAGTTCGCCGCTGAGCCGCTTGTCATGCCAAATAGCCGATGTCGGCATGGATGTATGAGTGTCATAATATTATTAATAACAATAATAATATCAGCAACACAAAAACTGTGCCGGTAGAGACGGGGCATCAGCGCAATGATAAAACAAATCTAAATCAAGCTCAAAATGTAAGTGTGGCAGGGGCAGATGCGATTATGGGGCAGAGAGAGGCAGGGGGGCTGGGTTTTCGACTGGGCTGTCGGTCGTTTGCTCATCACTTAGTTGGAGACCAGAACAAGCTGTAAATAAGAAGGAAAACCTAAAACGAAAAGTCATGTATGTGGGACGAATCGCTGGCAGTTACTCTCGATGCGTACAGCAGTGCGGTGGCTTGTCTGGCAGTCTGACAGATGACGACAACAAGAACATCGGCGCCGACACCGACACCGACACCGACACGATCACAACGTTTTCCGGTTTACTCCGAGCTTAGCAATCGCAGTCAATCAGTCCAGCAATTTGACGCTGGAAAATAGTATAGCCCAGCTGATCGATCAATAAATAGATCGACAGATTGATCAGCCTGTGAAGGCGGTAGTCGGTCTTAGTTGCATTTTTTTGTTTTGTTTTGTTTGTGTTGTGTTGTGTGTTTTTGTTGTGTGTCAGTCACCATGCACGTGGAGGAGCTGCGCGCCAGTCTGCAAAGCTTCGGCTGGCCGGACTATCTGGTTTTCTGCCTTATGCTGGCCATATGTGCAGCCATTGGCATACACTTTTGCCTGCAGCTGCGACGCGAGTCCAAAGCCCGGATTAGTTGTGGTGGTGATGCGACTGAGGCGGCCAATAGTGCAGCTTCCTATTTGGTCGGCGGCAGAAAGATGAAAATATTTCCAATAACAATGTCACTTATATCCAGGTGAGTTGAAGACACTTAGGGTTTATTAAATAACATACAAAAAAAAGAGGGATACTACTTGTTGAAAAGGTTATGTTAAGGTTACGTTGGACAGTCAGTTAGTTCGCTGTGTTGTTGAGTGGAGTGGAGTGAAGCTATATCCAAGCAATTGTACGAGCTACTGAACTACTCAGAATAAAAAAGAATTACTACCTAAGCCTCTTACTCTTTGGTTAATAGAGATCTGGATGGGTATGCGCGAGATCCCCATTAGAATTTTCATCAGTGTCGTCTAGGTTTCTTCCAAAACAGAGTTTTATTTATGCCGTATTGCTGATGGGCTGGTTCAATTAATGAGAGCGATAAGGCCCTGGCCCTAGCTTATTGTATGAGATGACATTTATTTAGATATTATTTAATAATCCCTGAAATAGTATTTTCATATTGGAATCTTTTCAATAATGCTGATAGAATTGACATTTTCGATAACATTGTTAAACGGAGTGTGCAAATAAATGACTGTGTTTGGAAATGCTTCTTGTTTTTAGGTGTTATATAAAATTCAGTCTTCAAAATGTCTGAATTATAATTTTCATATTGGAATAATGCTGATAGAATTGAAATGTCAATTCTCGTTAAAATTGTTAAGTGGAGTGTGCAAATAAATGACTGTGTTTGCAAACGCTTCTTGTTCTTGGGTATTATATTATTAGGCTATTAGAATACTGCGCACATATCTTATTTATATATTAATAGTTCTCTTCAATCCAATTATGGTTTGTCTACACTACACTAGTCCACTCATTTACGTCCCGTCTGAACGTTTGTTCTACTTAATCTACTTACATTATCATGCAGCTAGTTACAGCTTGTCAAGAATTTGTAGTTCCCAGTTGAGCTTATCAACGCACAAAATCAAAACGTTTCATAATGAATAAGTGGAACGTGAAGAGGTTCAGTCATATTGCCCAACGTTGTAACTGCTTACTACTATATAGAGTCCACGCCTCAAGTGTGGGTTACGTAGCCCGTATGAGGCGCTATTCAAATTTTTGACGCGCAGTTTCTATGCCGGTAGCTACTTAGTTCTCTTATAAAGACCACGACGGCGACAACGACAACGACAACGACATTGGTGCTAATTGAATTGTATAAAACGCACTTTGATCTCCCAGACAGCAGCAACGACTCAGTTCGTTGTCACTCTATTGGATGGAATTGTGAAGGTCAAGCGCCATGCTCTCACTGGTGGAAGGGTTAGCCTAATGGGATGGGATATGATTAGAGGAATATGAATTGGACTTTCTTTGCGCTAACAATCTTATCATTCCATTAGCTTTATTTCTGGCATTACGTTGTTGGGCACGCCAACCGAAATCTATTTATATGGCGCACAGTACATGTACATTATGGGATCACTTGTGCTCATGGGCTTCTGCATGTATTACTTTTTTCTGCCGGTATTCCATGAGCTCAATCTCATATCCACCTATAAGGTAAGTTCGATTCTAGTCTAATATCTATCAATGACTTGCAATAATGCAATTATTTTTTCAAACAGTATCTGGAAGAGCGCTATAATAGAAGTTTACGTTTCTTTGGCTCCATAATGTTTATAGTGGCTTCGGTAAGTTTTGGGCTGCTCTATAGGGAAGATAGGAAGATAAGAAGTAATTTAACCAGCTTTACTGAGGTAGTAGCTGATATTTAAGATTGTGGTATGATCAAGAAAGTTTAGACAAGGCGAATGAGTACTGAAAACTCACGTCGATTTAGTCCCAGATTTTGCTAAAACTTATCACACTCATTGATGTTTGTTTTGTGCGTGTTTAGGAATTAAAAATTGATGCTGAAAATGTGATTTTATGAATCTAAAGATGCGTGGAATATGGTTATCATTCTGGGCAATTATTGGGTAATTAATCTTATATTGCAAAAAAGAAGAACTATGGATATAAATTGAAAGCCTTATGAACCCATCTATTGGATCAAAGAGGAATCCAATAATTGGCTTTCCTTTCTCACTTAGAACATGGAATTGGACTTCTGAGTTATTTGGATTCTTGCAAATGAAGAACTCCTACAATTTCTCATCTTATAATGGTGTTTCCGCTTTTATTCTCTTGTCCAGTTACTGTGGCTGCCAATTGTGATTTATGTGCCGGCTATAGCCTTCAATCAGGCCACTGGCGTCAACATACACATTGTCACACCCATTGTGTGTCTCGTCTGCATCTTTTACACTTGCATTGGCGGCCTGAAGGCAGTGGTCTGGACTGATGTCATCCAAACGCTGATTATGTTTGGGGCCATGACACTGGTGCTCGTCAAGGGCACTCTGGACATTGGCGGTCCGAGCGTGGTGTGGCAACGTGCTCGCGAGACGACACGCCTAGAAACACCCAATTTCAATTTCGATCTGACCGAGCGCTACACCTTCTACTCGCTGGTGCTGGGCGGAGTGGCGCATTGGCTAAAATCGAATGCCATTAGCCAGAATATGATCCAGCGATATTTGTCGCTGCCCACTCTGAAGGATGCTCGCATTGCGATCTGGACATTCATTGCTGGCGTCTTGACATTTCTTCTGATTTGTGGCTACACGGGACTGCTAATTTATGCTACCTATGCGGACTGTGATCCCCTGGAGACGAAGCTGGCCCAGCGCAAGGATCAGTTGCTGCCACTGTTGGTCATGGAAACGTTGGGTGCATATCCGGGACTGCCGGGTATCTTTGTTGCGGGTGTTTTCAGTGCTGCCCTCTCCTCGCTCTCCACCGGCCTCAACTCGCTGTCGGCTGTGGTGCTGGAGGACTTTGTGAAGACATTCCGCAGCGCACCGCTCACTGAGAAGCAAACATCGTTTGTCATGCGCAGCGTTGTTGTAGTCTTTGGAGCCTTGTGTGTGACACTAGTTCTGGCTGTGGAGAAACTCGGCTCAGTGCTGCAGCTAACCATAACACTATCCTCAGTAGCCAATGGACCGCTTTTGGGTATTTTCACGGCCGGCGTTATGATACCTTGGGTAGCCGCCAAGGGTGCATTGCTTGGGGGCTTCAGCTCACTGCTGCTCATGGCCTGGATGTGTGTGAGTGCGCAACGGGATCTGGTCACTGGAACTTTGGTCTACTCGCGCAAGCCATACTCTACAATGGGCTGCAACTACACCTATGGGTCTGGCGAAATACCGCGCAGCTTCAACACCTCACCACTCGATGGCATTGTGAGGTAAGTTCTGTAGTTGAGGCATTCAAGCCTTTTTAATAGGCTTAGCTGATTTAGCCTTCACATGCTTACCCAAAAGTATAGATTCTGAGAAGCGCAGGCCAATTTTTATTTGTCAATAAGGCAATGTAACAGCTTAGCGATGAAGCGGCAGGCAGGATTTATTTTGAAAACCCTTCTGAACATCCATAATGCACTGTCTGACTTGTCTAAACAAAATATATTAAATATTTTCCTCTTCTTATTGTGCTTTAGCCAAGCTGCTGCTCCCTTTGAGCTGCATCGCATTTCCTACTTGTACTTTACGCTCTTGGGTGCTCTGGTGACCATTGTGATTGGACTGATCACCAGCCTGCTGTTGGGAGAGACCAATCTTGATGCAGTCGATACGCGTCTACTGACGCCCTTCGTGCGGCGTTGGCTGGAACGACGTCGAGCAAAGAGCTCTCAGCTGCCGAAAAAGGAACGCAAGACGGCGATGATGGCGACGACGGCGACGTGAGTGTAGTTTCTTGTACCACAGAACAGCAGTTCCTTCTCTTCGTTAGCTTAGTAAATATTTCAAATAAAATATAATTCATAATTATGTATTTTTCATGTGTGTTGCAGTTGGAAACGGGTTCAAAGGTGCTTTCTGTGTAATTACAAAAAATGCCTGCAGATATGGCCATTCGGAAGGGCGCAACTTAGGGTATAGGTATGGGTGTGGGTGTGGGTGTGAGCGTGGCTGCGGCAAATCAAAGTAAGTTGCAAAAAACTAAAAAGGGCCCCCCGAGTAGACACTGCGACATGTTCGGCCCTGTCCCATTTCGCCCACAAGCACAAGTGGTCATGACTCTGAAGTCGAAACTGACCGGGGGAGGCTAAGGGGTTAAGTTGTTGGGGCACAACCCAAACGGTTACACATTAGTTTTACTTGTACTGTTAATTGAATATTTACTGTTATTCCATGGGAGTGCGTGTATGTGTTTGCTGGCGTCCGCACCGAACTATTGCTGACCCCCAGCGGCTTTGCAACCCACTCCTTTCGTTTCCATAGAACAACCCTTTCTTTTATCCTATGTAGTTCCTTTGCTATTTATTTGTATGTTTAGGTCCGTTTATGCAGCAAATTGAATTGTTAATGAGCTGACAAATGGTTGCAAAATTATTTTAAAACCAAGACAGAGCGGCAAGAGAGACGGAGACTGGGTGTAAGGAGGAGACTGAGATTGAGAGAGTTCACAAAAGAAGCTCTGTAGATCAGTCTGAATTTACAGATCAGCATTTTCAGATTTATTACACACAAAACCACATCAAACAAACACACACACACACACATGCACAAAAACAACAAAATGTCAGAGGCACGCAGTTTTCTCTGTCATAATATGCCCACGCCATCTATTTGCATAAAAGCAACCCCATTTGAACGCCCCAAGCCCGCTCCAACCCCTCAAACTGCATTTGGTTAACTCACTAATACGCTGTATAGAATTTCCATAGTTAGTTTGCTGGCTCTTAATTAGCAGCTACAAAAATAAACTCGCACAAAAGACAGCGGCGAAATGTCATCAGAATGCATAATGACAGCGGCTCGTGCTCGGAGCAGGGCCGCATGGGTACTACAGGCTGGTACTGGTACAAGCTGGTCTGGGCAGGGTGGTGGATGGTCGAGGGAGGATGGGTTTGTATCCCAAAAGCCCGATGCACACCACACCCAGGTGAAAAATCTCAAAAACAGACGTCACATGGCACATATGGGACGCGATACATATGTTGGCTACAACTATATGGGCCCACACATCGTCGTCGGAAGCGGAAGCTGCCCAACAACAACAACAAACTACAACAACAGCAAAAGCGGCAGCAACAACAATAGCAAAATGCGTTGTTAACTTGTTTACGTCGTCACTGACGGCGGCCTTTTTGCTTTTGTGTGTTACTCCTATTCTATTACATAAATTATTTTGTATAGGTTGAGGCATTTGAGTTCGGCAAACCAAATTGTACAATTAGTCGGATATATAGTTTGAAAAACATGGCATTGTCATGCTAAAGCAACTCTGATACCTCGAACTATTTGTCATTCATTTTTCTCAGCGTTTTTTTTGCAAACCAAAAATGAATCAATGAGCAATTTTTAATAAGCTCCAGCATCCATTTAGCCAGTTTCGTAAAAATATAAAGCATCCATTTAGAGTAGAAACAATATAAATACTAATATACTATATTGATAACCTTATACTTATACTAATTGATAACCTTATTTTTTGAAGTCGGTTAAAAAATAACGATCAGACGAATTATTCTTTTTTTTTCTTTTGTAGAGGGCTTCATTTTATTGTTGAGCTTTTGCTATGAAGCGTATGCTGAAAACTATACAACTTGAGCTTCAAATAAATAATTTGCTATCCAATGCTAGCCCATCCCCTCCTATTCTATTCCATTCCATCTCAATCCCCTTCCCTTCTTTATGTGGAAGTGCAACTGCTGCTGACTGCGCCTGGCGGCCATAAATGCCAGTGACAATTTGCAGCGGCTTTAACACAAAAAGGTGGCTCATAAGTTCTGAGCGGGCTGCACGACCCCAGCACAAAAGTCATTTTTGATTGTTTTCATGGAAATGAACATAGAAAAATTATAATTAAAATTCATATGGAAATTGTCCAAAAAAAGAGACTGAGAGCGGGCACAGCTTGGCATAGAAAACAATGGCTGGCGTTGTACTTGATGTTATTCTTCTCGTTTCAGCCGCCATCAGTGCTGGCCAAAAGATTTTCACAGAGGAGCGCAAATGCAAAACCAAAGAAATGCAGGCTCAGGACGGTCGTTGAAGTGTTCATGTTGTTGTTGTTGTTGTGGGAAGGAGTGGGGTGGAGTGGAGGATGGAGCTGAGCTGCGGGCGCATTGTTTATGGAACATGTGTTAAAAATACAGGCAATGGTCCCATCCCAGCCCAGACCCTTTTTAAGCTTTGCAGTAACGACGACAATGTCAGCTAACAACATTAGAGATCGCTACCTGGGCATCTGCCCTTCTGTAGACCCCTCCTTATATGCTTTAGTGCCACAATGGTCAGCAACGCATGCCGGCTGCTCATATTCCACTTGTTGTTCTTGTTGTTACTATTGTGGACTTTGTCGTTTCTTTTTGGCACTTTTCCTACGCTTTTATGCGATAAAATATTTAATTATATTTGGCAGCTTGTTTTTCTGTTATTAGTACGTATGTGTGTGCAAATGAATGTGTGTGTTTCTGTGTGTGTGTGTGTGTGTGTGTGTGTGTGTGTGTGTGAGAGAGCATTGTGCGGTTGTTTTCGCTTTGGCTTGAATTTGGTTTTGGCTGCTGCTTTACATTACCTCTGGGAGCACAAAATTGCATTTGGGGTGCCAGCCTAAGAGTATGCAACGATTTGCTTGCCATTCGGTTTTTATATCTCCTATCCCTCAGGGCCGCAAAGGGTTTTATTAAAATCTTGCCGATGTACTCGTAAACATCAAATATATTTATTTTATTTTTAAGATTTCGACGCATCGAGCATGCTGACTAAGTCTTGCAAGCCATGCATTTCCATAGGACTCAGGCTCCACTGTGTCGTTTTAAATCTGTTAAAGCTTTGTAATTTCTAATCAATTTACAATTCTTTTGATTTATTGATTATGAATGAAAGTGTCCAAATTTTGAACAACTTTCTTAAGAAATCAAATTTGTGGAAATGCTTAAAAACTGATCTTCTTTTAAATGTTTTTTGTTTTGGCAAAGAGGGCCCAGTTATTCGGGACTAATTTTTGGTTTTTCATTTACATCGAAAGAAAACAATTATCCAAAAACTAGAGAATAAACTACAAGTATTGTACAAGTATGTACTATAACTTTTGTAAAGACACAATATTCTTTTTGGATGCAATAGCGTGTTTTATATTCGGTCGCGAGCGACTTTCAAAATCAACATTTTCTCTTGTTTTAAAATATATTCGGAGAATTATAAAACATTTTGACAAAAGGCCTTATGTCGCGGCTTGTGTTGTATTTGGTGCGACTGTTGTTGTTGTGGTCGTCGTTGTTGTAGTTGTAGTTGTTGTGCTTGAGGGCTGTTTGACGATTGTAATGCGTACACAGTCCGCGTGATCTGTGTGTCGAGCCGCAACGGCATCGACTGGAACAATTGGATGGTGATTACGCAGAACAAAGCCATGCCCCATTGTCCACATGGTTGTGAAGGCCAGCATCGAAAAGAGCACGACTAGACCGATTCGGATGGATCCACGCATTTTGTCACCTCTGCTCTATGATTTCTCACCAACTAAGCCGCTAATGACCGATGCACGCATGCTTTATATTTGGTTTTTAGTGTCAGTGGTGCTTTGTTTATTTTTGCAACATTTGCAGCATGAATAAATAAATGAAAAATCCAACTGGTCCAGTCATATTGCCTCTAATTTCGTATTGTGGGAAATTACTGTACTAATTATTCATTCACTGCATATTTGGTCGGCAATGCATTGCTATTAGGTTTGGGGTTTACTGTTGTAAATATATTTCATTATCTTGTCTTTTCAACCTAATGTATGGCAGTTTTTCAGTTTTGCTACAAAGTTATCAGATCGCCACACTTTTGATTGCTGATATCTGCCTAATTTCCCTTATTGTTCTTATAGTTGGTGCTGGACACAGGGTTCTAAATAATTATTGCCACATTGTTGTTAAACATTGACCCATCTTTTAATTGTATTTCATTTTTTAGCCATTGAAGTGCATTTAATTGAACCGAACGAATTAGCTGCGATTGCATCCCATTTGCTACGAATTCATAAAATAAATATTAATCACTTGAAAAATACTAAATATTAATGATTCAGTAAAATACGTGCAAGAAAGAAAGATGTATTACAAATTCTCTGATAAAAGCATATTTAAACTATTAAGCTTCAATAGAATTGTTGCAAAAATGAAGCAAATTTTAAGAGTGTATCAAGATCTCAACAACAACAACAAAAACTGAAAAATAGGAAAGCTGGTACCTATCAGAAGCTTGTTCAAGATCAACCATTCATTCAGCTGCAGTTGGAATTATATTCCTGCCCAAGGCAAAATTAATAGAAACCATTGAATCAACAGACGGCCTTTATTCTCGCCGAGGAAAACTAACTTAATGCTTCGTACTTCTTAAGCTGTCCGATTATGATAGTCCTAGTAGAATGTTTGGATTAGGAAATACCGATTGCCTACTTATGGTTAAATTAATTTAAATTTACGAATAAATAAAATGTGTCTAATAAAATGGGCTAGATTAGCCTACTATCAAATCACTTTCATTTTACATATTATTTAAGGAAATTGAATTTTTGTGACTAGTGCATTAATTTATAAGAATCTTTCTTGTCGCATTACGAACTAATAATAATAAATAAATAAATATGGTAAATAACATTTTCGTAGCTGTCTTGCAGGGACGCTGCTATGAGAAATATATAATACACGACAGAGATTTCGACTTGAATTTATCTGAAATAATTAATATTTGTATATAGATAAAACTGGATAAAAATGAGCTCGATAACTCAGCTTTGTTAATGAAAATTCTTGATTAGTCTTGGTTATTGTGTTA